AGCTGGAGGGAGGCTGGGGGAATTGTCAAAAAAAATTTTAATCATGATATTTTTAATGACTTAATGATATACCAATGGGAATGATCCAGTATTAAGGGAGAAAATGAAGCTTGTGTGTGTGTGTGGGGGGGGGAATTTGCAAGACAGATGGAATATGAAGCAGAAATAAAGCTATCCATTGTTAATGCTCAAATCTTTATCTCTAGCCTCAAACTCCTAACCACAGCTGCTATGCCCTTATCTGGCCCATGTCTACTTCTCTAGCCTCATTTTGTACCACTTTCTTCTCACTCACTGCACTCTAGCCATACTGGCCTCTAAAAAAATTTTATTGTTTCTTATTTCTTATGCCAAGTATGTACCTACCTTAGGGCATTTGCACCTGCTTTTTATTCCCTCCCTCTGTGAACTCTTCCTAAGAGAGTTCTAGGGCTTACTTATTATGATAATTCTGGTTTTGGCTCAAATGTCAGCTCTTCAGGGGCCTACCCTTCGCCACCTTAGCTAAAGCTGCACCTCTACCTTGCCAGTCATCCTAAAATCTAGTCTATCACATTTTCCTGTTCTTCATAGCATTTATATCAATATTTTCTGGGGGTTGGGAAGGAGGAGAAGAGTGCTTTGAATCAAATGTGAGATTGAGGTTTTAAACTGAATTGGACTGAGTCTTTAGGAACTGGAAAGGGCTGTCCTAATAGCCAAAAATGACAGAAGAGTTAGAGAACTGGATTAATTGCACAATTAGTGGCAGCGATGGGAAAATAAAACCATTTCATATTTATAATATATTACTCCATGAAATGTTTTCCAACTTTAATAAACATTATTTAAACATTAACATTTAACTTATAATGATTAATTTCAATTTTTATAATTTTTTCCTATTTATTCTCTTTCTCTGTCTGTGTACTTACATACACACATGTATACAGGTCCCAGATTTTAGTGACTGTAGGTTCTAAACTTGATCTTTCCAATAGAACTTCCCACTATGAGGGAAATGTTCTTATCTGTGCTGCACAATATGGTAGACATTAGCCACATGTGGCCACTGATCACTTGAAATATGGCTCGTACTGAGGAACTGCATTTTTAATTTTATTTACATTTAATTCATTTAAATAGCCATATATGTCTACTGACTACTGTACGGGACAGGTTAGTTGGAGACATTGGGCCTATAGGGCTTAATGGATAAAAAGGCCTCAAGCCCACAGGTTAGAACTCTCCTTTAACTTGAAATTTTTGCTATTTTATTCAAGGTGAAGAGCTAAATTAAATGGCAAACAGGGATACATTTGAAAAAACAACTTTATGCATAGGACCTGGGCTCAGTGCAGATTCAGCTCAATAGTATAAATGTTACACTATTTATAATATACTATCTAGAATCAGATGAGTACTCAAAAAAACAAATAACTAAAGCTACCATTCGTTGATAACTTACCACACGCCAGGCAGTGTGCCAAGCATGTTATACAAATTACATGTAATTTTTATAACAATCTCTTATTATTTTCACAATTTTATGGATGAGGACTGAGAGACAGTTCAAGCTTACACAGCTATCACGGGGCTGAGCCGAGATTTAAACCTAGTTCTGCCTGACTCAAAAGCAAATGCCTTTCAAGCATAATACTATATTGCCTCTTTAATATAAAAATTGGAGGCTGTTTTTTAGAATAGTTTTCTTTAAAATATAAGATATATCTAATGTATGTAAAATTCATTTTGCCTCAAGGACCTAAAAAAAAAACATGAAGAGATTTTAGAGCAGCTTAAAGAGTAAGTAAGAGGTCTGTGTGATTACCCGTTAGAAAAGACATGCCAGATATTTAAAAGTCTCAGGTTAAGAAAACAATGGTTTCAAATATGAGTCCTCAATCTAAAGTCACAACATTCCACATTGTTGGAGTTGTTCTGAGACGGATCAACTTCTCAAAATAATGTGCTGTGCAGACTGCTTCAGACAGGAAGTGGCAGAGAGATTTCTTTCTTTAAGGATGATTAATGATTCTCTCAAATAAGACAAGAGATGGGTAAAAATGTATTACAAGTGATCCGAAGGAAAAGCAAGAATCTTAGTTATCAAAGAATAATTATCATCATTATTAAGGGAATTAAAATACTTTCTTCCCCATAATCCAACTAAAGACTTTCTGCTGTATCTGCTGATGATCTTCTAAGGTATTTTCTCTAACTCTGACCTCTCCCCTGAATGCCAGACTTACCTAATTTTTAGCTCACGTCTTCAATTAGAGGTTCAACTAGCAACTGAAATAAACATCTCCAACACAGAAATGTGGATTCCTTAAGCATGTTCCTCCCTCAGTCTTCCCCACCTTCTTTGGCACCTCTTAGTTCCACAGTCCAAACAACCTAGGAGTAATCTTTGATTCCTCCTCTTAACCCCTCATCCAATCCAACAGGAATTCCTATTAATTCTACCAACCAGATGCATCTCAAATTCATCCACTTGTCTCCATTTCCACTGCTAATGTCCTGGTCTAAACCACAATTACCTTTCCTTTGAGCTGGGGAAAAATCTGATCTCCCTGCTTCCACTATTAGTTCCCATATAGTACTAATAAACTTTTGAAAATGTAAACAGGATATCAGTCTCCTGGCTTAAAATCTCTCAACACCCCTAGATATTAATCCAGCCCTTGCCATGTCCTACGAGCCCCTAAAGGAGCGGCCTCATCTACCTGTTTACCTTCTCTCCTACTACTCTCCTCATTTACTGTGCTTTAGACATACTGACCTTCTTCCCATCTTGAGCATATCAAGTTCAAGGACTTTTACACCTGTTATTTTTACTCGGAATGCTCTGCTCCTAAATTTTTGCATGACTAGCTCTTTCTTGTAAGTTCAGCTCAAATTCCCTACCCAAGAGGCTACCTGTGGCAGAGCTATCTAAGATAGCCCCCTCCATTCTAGGTCACTGTCTTGGCCCATGACACTATTTTATTTTCCTTATAGCACTTATCACTTTCTGAATTATGTTGATTATTTACTCACTTATCTATTGTTTGTCTATTTCCCCATTTAAACGTAAGCCCCATGACAACAGGGACCTTGTTTTGATTTTATTTTTTCACTTATGTCCCCGGCATCCATTATTCTAGGCCTATAGTAGAAGCTCAATAAATAAATGTTCGTTGAATGAATGAATAAATGAATGCAGTTACATACTGGCAACTTCTGGCACATCCAACCCAGAGGCATAAGCCTAGCATAAAAAGCACCTAAATGCCAGATGAGGGAATTCCTGCTAGTTCTTCTCTTCTACTAACGGCTCTAAACTTTCTACCACTTCAGTCTGCCGTATCCCACTTGTCTTTATGTCTTGGCATGCTTTGTGTGTGTGGCTCCATGTTTCGATTTTGAAAATAGGTTTTGAACTGTTTCCTATGGTCCTGCCGGGGAACCCTGGTAAGACTGTCCCTGGGTAGTTGTTCCTCTCTCTGGTGTAATTGCACCAAAATCTCATGCCTTGAGCTTAACAGCCTGCCCAGATCCATGACAATATGGGCTTACTAGCCCCATGCCTATTCATACAGTAAAAGGAACATCTGCTTCTGTTGGGAAGGTTTCTATCAGCCCAGCCCCAGGACAATGAGGAGGGCTGCCTCAGGTATTATGAATGTGGTTGTGAGATCCTAAAGCGACATTTAGTCAGCCACTGAAGTACTTTGCCCAGACTCTGGGATTTGTGCACAACTGGATGCCATGAGTTTTCCTTTGTAAACTTTGTTTACTTAATTTTTAACCTTTGTCTCTGGGAAGCTGGCAGAGAGAGGCTATTGTTTCTGAACGGGTATTTATATTTATGTAATTTTGGTTTTTGCCTGGAAGGAGCGGTCTCTCCCCGTCCTCGGGAGACAGTCCCCAGTGCGGTTCACTCCTCTTCCACCCCATCCTGTATACACATACAGTGCACCCCCCCCTTTCCTCCTTATTTCTTCAGGCCCCTTCCTGATACCTCCCCCTCCCTTCTTACGAATGTTAGAAGTGAGGCACTTATTACTTTTTTTTTTACTTATAATAATAGTCAACATTTGAAGATATCATGTGCTAAGCAATTAACCCTTTCCACAGTCCTAAGTCACGGATGCCATCAAGTTTTACAATCTATAAGACACAGACTCACAGAGTTTAACAAACTTCGCATTGGGTCACCCCACTAGCAGATGTGCAGTCAGGATTCAGAACAAAGCACTGACTACCTGCTTCAGGCGCCCAAGATCTTTACCTCTCATTCCTCAACTTAGGAAAGGCGGATGGTTCGCTAACCAGGGGCAGGGCAGGCTGCTAGCCCCCGGGGATACAAAATGGGTAAGCAAAGGACCTCACCACGACACATCAGTAAAGGGGACAGCGAGAGAAATCCTCATCAAACAGCGGATCGGGCGGAGCAATAAGAATGTGTACGTGGTACAAGGTAGCTCACGGGAAGGGAAGAACGCAGAGCCAGCAATCAGAAAGGCAAAATGGCAGTAGCGGACGGACGTGCCGCCGGGAGGGCCGCGGCCAACCGCGTCTGCCCGCAGCGACGGAACGGCGGGGGAAGGAGGGGAAGGCCACGGGCCTCAGGAGACCCGCGCCACGGAGACGCCGCCGCATGGTCCCGGGGCGGCCGCGAGCCAAGCTCGGTCAGACCGCGGCCGCCGAGAAGAGCCGCAGGAGGGGACAGGCCTCCGGGGAGCGTCGCCCGGCCTTAGGGCCCGGCAGGGCCGACCGCGGACGCCCGGGAGGGTCGGGACTCTCCCGGGGGCGCTGGAAGACCCTCCCCGACAGGCCGACTTCAGATGCCCGGGGCCCGGACAGGGCTCCCGGGCAGCGCCCTAAAGCAGTCGCCCGGCTGCGGGGCGCGAGGGGCTCGGCCCCTCAAAGGGCCGCTGCGCTGCGCTGCGCTGGAATCGGAATAAAGGAAAAACACCGGTTTGAAAGAAGAGCCTACGCAGAGTCGGGGAGGAGAGGTGGGGAACAGCCCTTACCTCATGGCGGCTGGGCTTGCGGCCCGTCCTGGGAGGCCGCAGTCCCCGCGAGCTTTCTCCTCAGGACGGGGAGCCCGGGCTGCCCGCGGCGGCGGCGCGCTCCGCCGTGTGCGCGTGTGCGCCGGCGCGGGCGTGCGTGCGGGCGCGGGAATCCCGCGAGGCGGCTGCGGCGCCGGGTAGGTGCTGCGCCGCTCGTCTTTTCGAAGGCGGGACCGAGCAGCGGGAAAAGGTAACTAGAAAGTGAATCTGATCCCCGACTAGGCGGAGTTCAGCTCCAGGAAACGAAACTTATGGAAGAGCTGAGTGGGGCCGTGGCCGGTCTGAGGAGCTGAGGGGACCAGTTCTGGGAGCACGGGCTCCTTGGGGGTGGAATTTGAAGCTGGGCCTGGGGACTTTGGGCTTAGCTGTCATCTGCCTCGCTGAGTCCGCGGGCCTCTCGATTGAGTTGTTTTTGTTTTTAATAACGTGACAGGAGATTGTGCAGCGTTATGTTTTTTGTAAGGGTGGCAGCGTTGCTCTTTCCAGCTTTCTGTACCCTAAGCTGAAACTGAAGTCCCTGCTTCCACTCTTGAGTCAACAAACAACACAGGTGCCATGCTGTGTACCTGTGCCATTCTTTCCACTGGCTAAATTGAGAGAAATTTTTGGGTCATATATGATACCGGCCCTCATATCAGTTCCCCTATATTAAACCCAGCATATATGAGGTTAAAACCAAAAGCACTCATCCTCTTTCCCTGCTTCTCTAAGTTACATTCATATGTAACTGTTTGGTTTTTTCCCTATCCCTGAACTTCATAAGGCAGATAGAAGTTACAAATTGTTAAAAGCCCAGGTGGCCTCAAACTGGGCTCACACTGATGTTTTGGCTAATTACCAGTTCTTGAGGTTTGTTACAGGTAAACTGATATCAAGAAGCTAAAGCTTCTCAGACCTCAACTCCTTGGCTTCCTGGTGCCAGAATCCACCATCCACCACGGACACAGAGACAGTTGAAGGACACCCACCAGTAATTCCCTTATCCACCATCCTCCTCCCTGCAAGCAGCCTCACAAGGCCAAAGGCAGGCTGTGGGAAAGCGCCCACCAGGGAGGCCACAGGCTTCCCCTCCCTACCAGCAGCCACATTCCTCACAACCTTTAAAACCCCTTGCTTCCCATTTTTCAGGGAGATGAGACAAATTTGAGAGCTCTCGTCTCCGGCTGACGTCACCTGAAATAAAAACTTTTTCCTTGCCATAAGCCTGGCATTCTAGTTTTATTTGGCCCCTCTTGTGTGGCGGGTAAAGAACCTGGGTATGTATCCGGTAACATACACATTTTAAAGTTTGATAGCTATTGCTAAATAGCTTTGCAAAGAGATTTATACACCTTCACCCACAATCATATGCGAGTGCTTGCCTAAACTGTTTCCTGTAATAAAGTCCCAATTCGAAGGGTGGTATTGGGAATCTAAGCAGAAAATGCTAAATGCTAAATACACTAAAGTTTTGTCCCCTTTGAATGCAATCATTCATTCATTCAACAAGTTTTATTAAACAGCTGCTAAGAGCCAGACATTGTTCAAGGCACTGTCAATATAGCAATGAATAAAATACGCAAGGGACAAGCCCTACTTCCTCACTGTCTTCCGCATCTTGCTCCTGGTTATGCAGAGAGGCCGAAGATAATACTCAAACTTTGAGAAAACCTTTAAAAAGGCACCGATTATAACTTTTATATCATCCTATTGACTTTGTAAATGAGTGGACAATGAAGTATAATTTTTACTATGTGGCTACTAGTTTAAAAAATGCTGACTTTGTTTTTTAATTCCGTTTTGCCAGAAAAAAGAGAATGGTGTTTAAAGTCAGTTCCTGCTGCCCCAGAATCATGTTAAACATGGCAAACAGTGTAGGTGATGCCAGCCCTGATGTCAGTTCCCCTATATTAAACCCAACATATACGGGGTTAAAAGCAAAAGCACTCATCCCCTTTCCCTGCTTCTCTAAGTTATATTCATATGTAAATATCAGTTTTTTAAACGTTTGTATCCCTGAACTTCACAAGGCAAATAGAAGTTACAAATTGTTAGAGCCCAGGTGGCCTCATGCTAACATTTTGGCTAGTTATGGGTCTTTTGAAGTTTTATTACAGGGAAAGTGATATCCAGAGAATATCAAGAAGCTGAAGCTTCCCAGACCCCAACTCCTTGGCTTCCTGGCACCACAATACACCCTCCAGCACAGAGGCAGACAACCAAGGACACCTACCTGCAGATTCCTTTATCTCTCAGTACTCCTCCCTGCAAGCAGCCTCACAAGGCCAAAGGCAGGCTGGTAGGAAAGCGCTGGCCAGCAAGGCCACAGGCTCCCCCTCCCTACAAGCAGCCACATTCCTTGCAACCTTTAAAACCCCTTGCCTCCCATCTTTCGGGGAGATGAGACAAATTTGAGGGCTCACTCTCGTTTCCCAGCTAACATCACCAGAAATAAAAACACTCTCCTTGCCGTAAACCTGGCGTTCCAGTTTTATTTGGCCCCTCTTGTGGGGCGGGTAAAGAACCTGTTTGTGTCCAGTAACATAGGTACAGAATTGTAGTTAGCTGTGCATTTGTGATTTTATTACTCTCTTGTTTGTTTCTTTGGAGTTAATTTCTAATGTGGGAGATAAAGATGTTGAAGAAATAAGACATTATATATCAGATGGTGCTATGGAGGAACAGCATAGAGAAGGTGGGAGTGCAGAGTATTTTGCAGTTATAGATATGTTGGTGAGGGAAAGTTTTACTGAGAAAGTGGCAATTGAACAAAGATCTGAAGGGGGTGAAGGAGTGAGCACTGTGGATATGGGGCTAGGGAAAAGCATTCAAGGTAGAGGAAACAGTAAGTGCAGAGGCCTGGAGGTGAGAGCACACTTGGCATGCGTGGATGGTGTGGTTGGAGTGGAGAGAGCAGGGGAAAAGTCATAAGAAATGAGGTCAGAGAGGTAATGTGAGTGTGGTGGGTGCCTCTGGGCTATTGTAATGTTTTTCTTAAGTGAGAAGCCATATTTTAGAAAAGGTACTGAATGGTTTATTTTGGGTAGAAAAATAAACCCAGAATTTCCTTCCTAATAAGGCTGTAGAAAAATTTAATAGAGCTCCAAGGTTTGAAAAAATTTGCAGTTCGTTGATCATGTTTCTCTTCCTTGCTTCTACTTCTTTCATTTCTTTCACTTAGTTGTATCTGGGCCAAGAGACAGTCTTTGCTTATTATGGTTTAAATGGATAGCAACTAAGCAATCAATGGTAAAAATCAAAGGAAAGAAGAATCCTGCTTATATACTTATATTGTTTAGGAATTCAAATTTAGAAAGGCAAAAGCTATCTGTAAAGGGCCGGCCCTGTGGCTTGGTGGTTAAGTGCGCGCGCTGCAATGCTGGTGGCCCGGGTTCGGATCCCGGGTGCGCATCGAGGCACCACTTCTCCGTCCATCCTGAGGCCGAGTCCCACATACAGCAACTAGAAGGATGTGCAGCTATGACATACAACTATCTACTGGGGCTTTTGGGGGAAAAAATAAAATAAATAAAATCTTTAAAAAAAAAAAAGCTATCTGTAAAAATTTTAAAGGAATATATATTTTCAGGATTGAGAAGAAACAAACACCTGACAGTTGAGTCGGTGTTGAACATGCTGAAATTCCTGGATGTCATTTGAATATCAATCTTTTTTTCACAGACTGTTGGGTTGGGTGGAATCTTGGGAAAAGAAGTGGTGTATTGTCTTTTGAATTTATTCTTTTGGACTTGTGAAACATGACAACTAGAGAAAAGAGGAAATAGAAAGTGAAACATGGCAACTGAGCTAAAATCTGCTTGGGAAGCTGAAACTTAATAACTCTTACAAGAAATACGTGTAAGTCAGTTTCTCAACCTTGGCACTGTTGACATTTGGGCTGGATAATTCTAGGTGGTGGGAAGCTGTCCAGTGCATTGTAGGATGTTAAGCAGCATGCTCGGCATATACCCACCAGATGCCAGTAGCACCCTGCAGTTGTGACAAACAAAATTGTCTCCAGATGGTGCCAAATGCAACTTCTTTTTCCCTTGAGGCCAAAATCCTCCTTTCTCCTCTTAGCACACCTCCCCACCCCACCCCCACCTTGAGTTGAGAATCACTGCTGTAAATACTACCCTCGTGTATATTCGTAATTTATTTGAATTAGTTCTCATAGCACAGCCTGCAAGAGATAGGAGGTAGACTTCAGGTAGGAGAGCAAAAGTTGAATACAGATCAAGTGAAGTTGAGGATGGTACTGGAGTTCAGGAGGAGGCCTGGGTGAGAGGTTGGGTATCAAGGGGAATGTCAAAGAAGGCCTACTCCCTTCAGCCTGGGACTCCAGAGTGGAGGTGGCTGAATCACATTTGGTCTGACTGGGGACAAGATACAGATCTATGGACACAGACTGAGGGTGGGTAATTCAAGCTGGGGCAGGCTATAGGGTAGAGGCCCTTTGTACCAGTGCAGGTCCAGCTCTAGCAGCATGATGAGAATGGAGACATTGGTGGCCCGGGTGATCCCCAAGGCTCGAGCTAGAGCCTGCAGTGGTGTGTAGATAGCAATTAGCAAAGACCTGGGCTGGGGTACCAACAACAGTAGTGAATGGCAGGAGCTGTAGTTTGGCCTGATTTAGGGGTAACATAGAGACACTCGCTGGACACTTGGAGAAATTCTTGAGTGGAAGAACTCTAAATAAGGACACCAGCTGAAGTTCTGTCAGTCATTTTCATGGGAGTAACAAGCTTCTGAAATTAGGCTGTCAATTTAAAGAGACCTCTTGGTAATGCCTGGAGATATTCATGTGTAAATTTGGCAATAGTATTTTCAATACCAAAGAGCATCTATTTTGCTGAATTTTCTGCTTGTTTTTCTCTGTGAACATCCAGACTGTTCTACACTTTAGTATTACTGAGTTCTGGGAAGTGCAGAGATCTCTTGTCGAGTTGGGAAGGATTGGATAGAGAGATGGTATAAGGTAATAAGAAACACTAAGTAACCCTGATCTCTGGAGATTGTCAGACACACCTCCCAGGAACAGAATACATAATCCAGAGATTAATTTTGCATTCATGAGCTCTGCTTTCTGGGTGCAAATGATGGATAGCAATGTCTGGGAAGAATTGCCTAATAGTCAAATTGACCAATTATCCAATAATTATTTGCTTTTCGTGTTACTGACTCTGCGAGAGTTCATAGTGGTTAGACTTATTTAGTACCACACAGCCTCCTTCTCCCAAATCAAGCACTTGAAGTTATCATTTTTGTTAAATCTAACAAATCTCTTGTTGTAGTGATAATGAGGTTGGGAAGATTACTTTTATGTAACTCTTATGCCTGCCCCTCAATGATAAAAATTTTGCTCACTTCAATTCCTATAGAATTTCACGAAATATCCAAAGCCCTCCCCAACATTTCTGTGATTCCTTGGGGACTTGTATTCTCTTGGATTAGGAATTCCCATCAAGAAATGCAGGCAGCCTCTAGAAGCTGGAAAAGGTACAAAAAGGATTGTCTCCTAGAGCCTCCAGAAGGCATGTGGCTGTGCCAAAACTGCTTGATTTGAGTCCAGTGAAACTCATTGCAGACTTCTGACCTCCAGAACTGTAAGATAATAACTTTGTGTCATTTGAAGACACCAAGTTTGTGCTAATTTGTTACAGCCACAATAGGAAGTTAATACATCCTCTCCCAAAACAAATCCAAGAATGAAAAAACAATTACATTGTTTCCTTAGTTTTCCTTTTTAAAATGTTGTTTGTTGTGCATTGCCTTTTAATAAAATGTCATAATCAAAGGTGATTGCTATAGATCATCTCCCAGATCATTTAGCATCCTTTTCATATTTCTTGATCCAACTAGATCAGTACCAGCAAATGACTGAATAAATAGTGCTTCAAACAAAATGGTGTAAAACAAGAGAAACTACTTGGGACAGTTTGACAATGAATTAAATTTCAAACAGCTTCATGGAGAAAGCTGACCTTTAATTGACTGTGTTCTTGTTTTACTGTCTCTCTCTCTCTCACTAGACTATATGCTACATGAGGTTTGGGGAAAATGTCTGCTTTGTTCACTGATGGATAGCAGAATATGCCATCCCAAAATATACCACGTTGGCATAAGTGTTATTTTGAGTTGAAAGTAATTGAGAAGAAGCAGATATTAGAAAAGTTCTCTGTCATCCCCATATCTGCCTAAAAGCAGAACATAAATTTGTAAAGGTGTCTCCTCCTCCCCCCACCAGGAAGGACAGAAGTTAATCTCCTGAAATAACTCTAGGATCTTATCAGCCCAGAGTCACTACCAGAGAAATCTACACAACAAACCTTACTACCCAGCCCTCATCTTCCATTAGTTTCCCTCACATATTTACTTTGCTACCCTAGAAACTCAAAAGTTCTTTTGTCTTAGCAGTTCTCTAAAAATGTATTGTTTGTTTGTTAGGATGCTGTATAAGCACAAGTTCTAACCATTTCTTTGAGTTACTCATCACTAGGTACTCCCATGTTTATATGTGATGTGTATGTTTATAAACTTGTTTTTTCTTGATAAACTGTCTTTTGTCTAATTTACGGGCCCCAGCCAATGAACTTAAGAAGGGTAAAGGAAAAAGAATTTTTTCATCTCCTACATCCCCATAGTGTTTTTGGTATCTAGCACTGAAAACAATTTGTTGATAAAATGAATGAATTAAACATTTTATTTTATGTAAGTCCATTGTTTTATTTGCTGCAAATCTACTCAACAAACCGTTTTTTTCTACTATATAGCATTCACAGAGAAATGCTTCCATTCCCTCTCTCTTCCTTTCTCTCACACACACAGACAATATATTCTGTTTCACTATTTTCTGAATGTACCTATTTAACTAGGTTTGAGTAATTGTTCAAAAATCACATCTTTACAGTGAATTGCATAATCTGATCTGAAAGCAGCAAGCAGATAAGATGATTAGTACATATTAACCTAAAATCAGCTGAAATAGGGAAGTGGTCAATATTTCAGTGCCTAGGCATCATGTCCCACAGAGTTCTCAAAGTCAGCAGTCAGCCTGAGGACCCTCCAGGGCTTTATTCATTTCTCCTTTCAATTTGTGGATGGACTCAAAGATGCTCAAGGTTTCTGTGTCTAATGGATTTCTCTGACATTTCTTTAGAGCCAATTTCTCCAAAGAACTGATACTTTTATCCCTTACAAATGTTGCCTTTTCTATTTTTGCTACTTTTAAATAATGGATAAATGCAGGGTCTTCAGATTTCATTTGAAATTGCTGAAATCGGCCATAGGAGAAATGTATCCTTTGCAGCTTTTCTCTTCTTGGAGTATGTTCATGCATAACACTTTTTGATAAATGTCTTCAACTTTTCTGTGGTCCCCTGCTTCTATGTACATTTCTGCCAGGTGTACATAAGCAATATCAAGTGTGGGTTTTTCTTTCAGAGCAAATTCCAAATGAGATATGGCTGATCTTGCAATTCTGTCAACATTTTCTCTATCCTGTCCTCTAGGCTGCCAGTTTACAGTTTTCTTTATTTGAATCACTTGTGCTTTATAGCAAAGCCCTATCTGGTGATGCAGGAGGGCAGAGGAGGTTGTTGCCTTCAGGGCCTTTTTAAAGAACTGGAGAGCTTTATTCAGAGAGCCTTTTCTTCAGTAAAACTTGGCCACATATCGAAGCACATAGGTCTGCGAGGACATGTTGGTCTGTGCTTCTTCAATGTACTTTTCTCCTTCAGCTTCTTGTCCTACATCCTGAAGCTTCAGGGCAAGGAGAGTCTTAATATACGCATCTTCTGGATTTAGCCTGATGGCCTGTTTTAGTAGGTTCAGACAAATTTCCTCACTATTGTGTGGTGCTCCATTAAGGCCGTCCAGGCGATAGGCGGTGATTGCATACCCAGTGCTGAATTCAGGGTTTTTGGGGTCCACTTCCAGAGCCTTTTCAAAGCAGGCTTTGGCCCGTTTATAATTCTTCCCTCCACATTTCAGCAAGGCCCATCCTTCCTCACAGTCCATCTGAATTTGCAAACTTCTTGTTCTCTACCTTGTCTACGTAAGCCTGGGCTTCTGCTAGTCTGCCCATGTGGTAGTACAGCCAGGCATAGTTGCCCCAGGTAACCAGACTTCTCATGCCTGATTGGTCGGCATGTTCTCGCTGGATTAAGTCTTCAGACTCTTCAGGGCTTCCTCATTCTGGCCTTTCAGGTGTTTCACATAGGCCAGTAGGTTGTGTATTCCCACATTGTATTTGGTGTCCAGGAACTCAATCTCATCCAAGATCCTGTTTTCCAAATCAGGCATTTCAGTGTCTTCAATTAGCAAATCCCATGTAAAGTGACATCTCCTCTGCTCCAGCCTGTCCTTGATCTGATCTTCATCGGCATTCTTACTGTAAAAATAAAAGCAGATTTTCTTTGGTGAGGAACAGCCAACAGAAAAAAGCCAGATGAAACACCTCATATTTAGAGCTGAGCCTTGAAAAGGGAATACCTGCTTTGATTTTCCTTAGAGTCTCTGTATGTCTAAGATCCACATAGACTTTGAGTGCATTTGCTTGGCTCCATATGCTGGCTCCAGCTCTTTCTAGCCAAGTAACCGCTCTGTGCTCAGACTCTTATTTGTAAAAAGGGAATAATAATAGTACTTAGTACACTGGGTTTGGTGAGGATTAATAGGCCTGTATAGTAAAAGACTTAGAGCATATTATGTACTATATAAGAGTTTCCTATTTTCCTATTAATATAATTAGGACAGAGATCAGTTAGAAATACAGAAACTTAGAAAACATTATTGACCTCAGGACCTTAGTCTGCAGATTATGTAACAAATTAAGACCACCTAAAAGAGATAATATTTGACCAATTTTTTTTCCACTTACTATTTGGAAATAATTCTAGATTCACAGAAAGTTGCAAAGATAGTATATAGGTTCAGTGTACCCTTCACTCAGTTCTCCCCTGATAATATCTTACACAACTCGAGTGCAATCTCAAAACTAGGAAATTGACTTGGTACAATATGTGTATAGGTCTGTGTCATTTTATCACGTGAGTAAATCCATGGAAACACTACTTCGATCAAGACACAGAAACTATCCCATCATCATAATCATCTCCCTCATGCTATCTCTTTATAGTCACACCTGCTGCCTCCCTACCTCCTCAAACATCTCTAGCCTCTGGTAGCCACTAATTTGCTCTTCATGTCTATAATTTTGTCATTTTGAGAATGTCATATAAATGGAATTGTACAGTATGTGACCTTTTGAGATTGGCTTTTTTCACTCATCGGAATGCCCTTTACATCCATCCAAGTTGTTCAGTTTGTCCATAGTTCATTCCTTTTTATTGGGGAGTAATATTCCATGGTATGGGTATACCACAGTTTGTTTAACTATTCATCTGTTGTAGGGCATTTCAGTTGTTTCTGGGTTTGGCCTATTACAAATAAAGGTGCAGTGAAGAGTTGTGTACAGGCTTTTGCATGGACGTGAATTTTGATTTCTCTGGGATAAATGCCAGGAGTGTAATTGCTAGGTCATATGCTAAGTGTGTGCTTATGTTTTTAAGAAACTGCCAAACTATTTCCTAGAGTGACTGTATCATTTTAGACTCCTAGTAGCAATGTGTGGATGATTTAGTTCTCTGCATCCTTATCAGTATTTGGTATTTCCACTTTTTTTTTAAATAGGTTTTCCAGTAATCTCTCATTGTGGTATAATTTGCATTTCCCTAATGGCCAGTGGTTTGAACATCTTTTCACCTGCTTATTTGCCATCCATATATCTTGTTTAGTGAAATATCTCTTTCCCTATTTTCTAATTGGATTGTTTGTTTTTTATTGTTGGGTTTCAAGAATTCTTTATAGGTTCTAGATATGAGTCCTTTGTGAGGTATATTTTTTTCAAATATTTTCTTTTGGTATGTAGCTTGTTTTTTACCTTTTTTTTTTTTGGGTGAGAAAGATTGTCCCTGGCTAACATCCATGCCCATCTTCCTCTACTTTATATGTGGGATGCCTGCCACAGCATGGCTTGATAAGTGGTGCATATGCCTGCACCTGGGATCTGAACCTGTGAACCCTGAGGCGCCAAAGTGGAGGGCACGAACTTAACCACTACGGCACTGGGCCAGCCCCGTCTTTTACCTTTATAATAAGGTCTTTTGAAGAGCGAAAGTTTTTACTTTTAATGAAGTATAATTTATTGATCTTTTCCTCTTATGGATCATGCTTTTGTTATCATGTCCAGGAACTCTTCACCAAGCCCTAGGTCCTGAAGATTTTCTCCTGTGATTTCTTCTACAAGTTTTGTAGTTTTACATTTTACATTTAAATCTATGATCCATTTCTAGTTAGTTTTTGCATAACATGTGAAGATTAGGTTGCTGGCTCATTTTTTTGCCCATGGATATCCAATTGCTCCAGCACCATTTGTTGGAAAGAGTCTTCTTCCTCCATTGAATTGCTTTTGCACCTTTGTCAAAAATCAGTTGGCAGGGACCAGCCAGGTGGTGCAGTGGTTAAGTTCAAGCACTCCTCTTTGGCAGCCTGGGGTTGGCAGGTTCGAATCCTGGGTGGGGACATATGCACGGATCATTAGGCCATGCTGTGGGGGCATCCCACATACAAAATAGAGGAAGATGAGCACAGATGTTAGCTCAGGATCAATCTTCCTCAGCAAAAGGAGGAAGATTGGCAACGGATGTTAGCTAAGGGCCAATCTCCCTCACTAAAAAAAAATCAGTTGGCAGTACTTGTGTGGGATTATGTCTGGATTCCTATTCTGTTCCACTGCTCTACGTGTTTATCCCTCCACCAATACCATACAGCTTTGCATATAATCAGTGTTAAAATTGGGTAGGGTGATTCCTCTCACTTTATTCTTGTTTTTCAAAATTGTTATTCTAGTTCTTTTGTCTTTCCATATAAATTTTAGATTAATATTATCTATATCCATAAAAAATCTTGCTGTAGTTATGATAGGAATTTTGTATCAATTAGGGGAGAATTGACATATTTGCTATGTTGAGTCTTCTAATTCATGAACATGCTATATCTGTTTGTTTAGATCTTCTTTGATTTCTTTCATCAGCATTTTGTAGTTTTAGGCCATCAAGTCCTGCACATATGTTACATTTACACTAAAGTATGTCTTTTTCAGCAATTTTAAATTATATTGTATTTTTAACTTCAATTTCCACATGTTCATTGCTAGTATATAGAAATACAATTAATTTTTGTATGTCAGTCTTGTATTCTGCAACCTTGATGAACTCACTTGTTAGTTCCAGGAGTTATTTTGTAGATACCTTGGGATTTTCTATGAGACATCATGCCATCTGTAAATAGAGACAGTTTTATGTTTTCTTTCTGACCTGTATACCTTTTTTATTTATTAGAGAACTTCCTTTAGCTATACCTTTAGGTGGGTCTGCTGATGTGAAATCTCCTAGTTTTCCTTCATTTGAGAATTTCTTGATTTTCTCCTCATTCCAGAAGAATATTTTTGCTAGATATGTGATTCTGGGTTGAAAGTTCTTTTCCATAAGCACTTGAAAATTGTTTTGCTCCTTTCTTCTAGGCTCTATGGTTTCTAATGAGAAATTAGCTGCCATTAGGACTGCAGGGTTTTTCCTTACAGGTAAGGTGTCATTTCTCTCTACTACTTTCATGGGTTTTTTTCTTAGTCTTTAGTTTTCAGAATTTTGACTATGATGTGTCTTGGATTTTGGGGGGTTTGTCCTTTGTGGAGTTTGCTCAGCTGCTTGAAATTAGTATCAGATTGGATAATTTCTATAATGCTATCTTCAAGTTCATGAATTCCTCCCTCTGTCCTCTCTATCCTGCTGTTGAGCCCAATCATTTTTTTTTTTTTTGAGGAAGATCAGCCCTGAGCTAACATCTGTGCTAATCCTCCTCTTTTTGCTGAGAAAGACCGGATCTGAGCTAACATCTATCGCCAATCCTCCTCCATTTTTTCCCCAAAGCCCCAGTGGATAGTTGTATGTCATGGTTGCACATGAGCCCAATCATTGAGTTTTCATTTTGGTTATTGTACTTATCAGTTCAAAAATTCCCATTTGGTTCTTTATATCTTCTCTTTCTTTGCTGAGACTTTCTATATTTTCATTTGTTTCAGGTTTGTTCATCATTGCTCATTGTAGCATTTTTGTGATGGCAACTTTAAAATGCTTGTTAGACACTGGTAACATCTCTGTCATTTCACTGTTGTTGTCTGATGATTATTCTTTCTCATTCACATTGGGATTTCCTTGGTTCTTGGTATGACAAGCAATTTTTAGTAGAAACCTGGACATTAGGGTATTGTATTATGAGACTCTGAGTCACATTTAAATTTAAATCATGCCTCCTCTAATACTGCTTTTCTAGGAGTAGAGGAAGGCCATCTCATTCCACACCACCAGGTCAAGGTGGAATCCAGTTTACCCACTTGTCTTTCAGTAACACTTTATGGGGGTCCTGGGCTCCTCATTGTTGCTGGATGGGGGTGGAAGGTCAGGCTCCCCCCAGGCCTCTGCTGATACTACCCTGGCTGGGAGGGGCAGATGTGCCTTGTTATTCTTCACCATGTGGCCTTTACTGAAGCCAAGAAGGGAGAAGAGTGGGGAAATGTGGCCTTATTACCTCTGAGTGGTGGTGAAAATCCTGAACTCCACTAGGCCTCTCTGAAACCACCTCAGTGGGGAGTGGGAGGGCATCTCATTACCACCAGGTGGGGGTTATGTCCAGACTCTCTTTGTGGACTTCACGGACACTGCAGAGAGAGGGACCCTCATTACCACCCGTGAAAGTCTTGCACCCCACTTGGCCTTGTCTGGCATCACCCTGGTGGGCAGAGGGTGAGGGAGAGAGATGGGATGCCTAGCAATAGCCTGGTTAGGGTAAAAGTTTAGGCTCCCCACTCAGCCTTGCTGGCACTGTTCAGAATGGGGCTACAGTTTTTGTTTATTTGTTTATTTTTTCCTTTGCTGTTTGGCTGGAGTTGAATGGTTGTTGTTTATAAGTTTTCTGTCTTGCTAAGCTGTCCCTTTCTTGGTCCTCTGGCTAGAGAGAGCAGGCTTTTCATGAGACATTTCCGTCCATGCCTGTTGGCATTTCTAGGTTGCTGGCTTCTCCAGCACTCAGTCTGGGATATATGCAGAAAAGAGAATGCCCGTAAGACTCACTGCAGTGTTGTTCCTTGGGTCCCAAGTTTCCTAGCTGGTCTGCCGTCGTTTATCCACCAGTCAGCATGTTCTTATATTTGTTTTATATTTTAACTGTACGTACTAAGAGGAAATGGGAAATATACATCTACTCCATCTTTCTGGATGCAGAAGTCCTTTGCCCAAGTATTAATATGGTTTATCCCACTGCCATCCCTAAAAT